TTACAATTAATCCAAAACTCTAACCCCTAACCCCTAACCCGAAACCCTAACCCTAAAACCAAAAACTTTACAACTAATCGCGAACCCTAACCCCTAACCCCTAAACCTTAACCTCGAAACCAAAAACTATACAACTATTCCAAAACCCTAATCCCTAACCCCTAACCCGAAACCCTAACACGAAACCGAAAACCACAATTAATCCAAAACCCTAATCCCTAAACCCTAATCCCTAACCCCGAAACCAAAACCTACAACTAATCCAAAACCCTAACCCCTAACCCCTAACCCGTAAACCCAAAACCCTAACCCATAAACCCTACCCCTAAAAGCAAAAACTTTACAACTAATCCAAAACCCTAACCCATAACACCTAACCCCTAACACCTAAACCCTAACCCCCAAACCAAAAACTTTACAACTAATCCAAAACCCTAACCCATAACACCTAACACCTAAACACTAACCCCAAAACCAACAACTTAACAACTAATCCAAAACCCTAACCCATAACACCTAACCCCTAACCCCTAACCCAAAACCAAAAACTTTACAACTAATCCAAAACCCTAACCCATAACACCTAACACCTAAACCCTAACCCCAAAACCAAAAACTTTACAACTAACCCAAAACCCTAACCCATAACACCTAACCCCTAACACCTAAACCCTAACCCCAAAACCAACAACTTAACAACTAATCCAAAACCCTAACCCCTAACCCCTAACCCCTAACCCAAAACCAAAAACTTAACAACTAATCCAAAACCCTAACCCCTAACCCAAAACCAAAAACTTAACAACTAATCCAAAACCCTAACCCCTAAACTGTATACTTAAAGGGTCCAGTACACTACCTGCACTTCGCCACTCGGGCTGATCTCTGTCTAGTTTATCCCTACTCTGCTCAAAAGCAGCACAGGCTGCTATGATAACTGACTTAACAGTGATCCAGACTTTAACAAAGCCCCCCCGATTAATATTGTGGAATAATATACTGCCTTTACAAGACCAATAATTCATTTCACAGAAAGTAAGAATTGAAAGAAATTACACTAACAGATTTCCTTTATTACAGATCACAGGTTCAAAAACGGGAGAGAGAGGAGAGGGGTGTGAGAGAGAGAGAGAGAGAGAGAGAGAGAGAGAGAGAGAGAGAGAGAGAGAGAGAGAGAGAGAGAGAGAGAGAGAGAGAGAGAGAGAGAGAGAGAGAGAGAGAGAGAGAGGGGGGGGGGGCAGACAGAGACAGAGTAAGAGAGAGAAGGGGGGAGGGGTAACTGATGATGCTTTTATGTTATTTTTTAGGTTCAGTACAAGAGTTAAGTCAATGCCCCAGTTACTGGAAAACTGTCCAATATATCAGGGAACTACAAAGGTTGTGTCAATTCTTTGGTCAATCTGGTCAACAGCGGGGAGAGGGGTGGGGGAGATGGGGTGGGGGAGATGGGGAGGGGGGCGGATAGGTTCACAAAGATAGCAACATAATTATGACTTGGAGCTTCAAAGTGTTGCAGTCCAGCATGACACCAGCTGACCTAGCAATGATCCGCTCACAAACATTCAAACATTTGGTATAGCCATTTCTTTTTAAAGCACAAAGGGAATTGACCTGTTTTGAATTGTATAAATAGTTTCACTGTAAACATTGTGATTTTTCACCCATACCTCTTTATTGTCAAATGTTTTTTTCCTACCTGTTCTGACGCTGCTGCTTCCACGACTGAGATGTGGCCTTTTGACTCGCCAGCTTTCTCTCTGGGAGTGATTTCTGCAGCATCCTGGAACAAAAAGTTGCCTATCCTCTTCAAGGTACCAATCTCAATTGTCAGAACAAATGATAAGGGAAATACAAAACATTCACAAATCTTACACTACAAAGTTTCCTAGGACAGGAATACTTATAAGAGAAACTGAGGAAGAGGAGACAAGGGGATAAGGACACTACCACTGAGCACTGCAATCTTCTTTTTTAATTGGTGGAATTCAAATAAACAATAATATAGTCACCATCCATAGATCGGGTTGCTTCACAAAATACTCTAAAGTGACTTGGATATATTTTTTATTATTTTAGTGAAAGAATTCTGTGAGGCTATGATGTTCAAAGATGCACTCTAAATGACTATTTGAGACATTTCACAATTTCTGTTATTTTGTAATCCGCAATTGAGCATGATGAACCTGTCTGAAATGTTAGTCTTGATTTGAGCTACTGTATTCCAGGGAAGATAAAATAGAAAACAACTCATGTTTGGACTCTTCAGAACCAAAGAAATGCTGGAGAAGTCCTGCTTTTGGCTAGATTTGCACTAAAAAAATTACCTCGTCACTATCAGGTTTTCAGCCAGCCTGTTCTGACGCTGCCGCTTCCACACTGAGATGTGGCCATCTTACTTTCCTTTTGGCTCTGGTCCAGCTCTTTCTAATGATTCTGGAACAAAAAGTTGGATGTCCTCGTCAAACAATCAGTCTCAATGGTAACATCCATGATTTACCTCAACAAAATATCCACATTCTAATCCCACAA